ATACACTGGGGTCTCAATTAGGCAAGCCTAAATTATTTACCATTTCCTAGCAACCCATGCACCTCAGGGGCCAATGAAATACCACCTTTGGATTGGGGTAAAGCCCTCCCACTTTCACCTGTGGCCAGGCTGCTGGACTTGCAGGGGGCAGCTGCTGGGGGATGCTAGTCCTGTTTCACAAGACTGGTACACAGCTAGATAAAGACTAGTTCCACTAGTCGAGAAAGGAATTACTTTACTTTAACCTTTCCACATCTAGTCTCCCCTGGAAAGCCAGAGAGTATGGTCCCACCCCACCCCAAGTCCCCACCCCCTGCATATTCTCCTAGCAGCCAAGCTGCCACAGAGATGACACTAGGTCCTCTGCATTCATGAGCCAAACTCCCCAGGGGCAGCATCAGCTGAGTACTGAGTGCAGTGCAGCTGACCAACCCCCAGGATCCCAAGTTCTTCAGCAGCTTCCGGGAAGCAGCACAGTTTCCATGGCAAGTGGTTATTTATGCCCTGTGACAAAATCCATACCAATGCCTCCTTCCATTCATACAAACAATTTTGATTTACCTGCATCGGTGACTTTCTGAGGCTATTTTTTTCATGTCTCTCATATACTGACACAAGTAGATTTTAATTATTTAATACTAATAGAGAAAGCAAGATTGCAGGAGCAAAAGAAATAGTAGCATAAATTATAGTGAAACAAGATTATAAACACAGAGAGGTCTGTGTCATTAGTCTGAGTCACTGAGAACCAAAACACCTAGGATTACCTCTGGGGTTAACAGTATCCAAAACTGTGGAAACAAAGAGCCATTTTCAGGAAAATAGTTTAATCTCTAGGGCTTCCAGGAACCTTCTTGCTTCCTACTTTCAATCACATTCTAATCAAAGCAAGCAAATCTGGATCAAATAGTGTAGTGAGTTTACATTTGCTATACCACTAATGGATACGAGAAACATCACTTGGCTTTATTTTTCAAAGTCAAACAAAGTTTGTCTCTAAGCCCCACTTCCCCCTACATGATAAGGCAATAAGAGTCTTTTTAAAACTTTTCTAGCTGATCCCCTTTCCAGGAGCTTCAAAAAGTCTCAAGAAACCACAAAGTCCAGAAAAGCTGGGGAAGACCTTAGAGCTTCGGTCTGTCATGGTCACGCCTGAGATGTGCATACAGCAGTTGTTGCCCAAACTGATGTAGTCATTTAAAGGCAGGAGTCTCCTTTTCCAAGCTTTGTTGACTCCCAAGGCAGGGCAATTAGTGTTCGATTTCCCCAGCAGCCACATGGCATCCAAGAGACCTCTTGCCATTGCCCTGAGCCCACATGGAAGTGGGATGCAGAGAGGTGCCATTCTTGGAATCTGCTACCACTATCACATTAGATATGGCCAAATTTGCCCCAGCAATACCCATGGCCTCAGAAAATCCCCTCCCTGGCTCATCCTCCCTCAGTGGACTTAGTTTCCCAAACAAGAGCCTGGAGGTAGTATTCTAGAAGCTTGGCAACTTGTGTTCTATTCCAGGAAATATAAGTGCTATTCTCAAACTCCTGGCCTCAAGTGATGCCCACATCGGCGTCTCAAAGTGCTAGGATTACAGGCATGAGCCACTGCATCCGGCCATAAATGCTTTCTTCTAAGAGTATTTTTTAATCTTTAAAAAAATTAATAGGTAATAAAAATGAAAAGAGCATTGTACCAGGATGTTGTCCCTGGTTACTTTTTATATATCTTATCTGTCATTTTAATGCAGCTCATGAAACTCTGTGCAAGCATTTAATTACTTTCCATTGAACCCACAGGTCTGGGTCCAGATGAGTGGCATAGGAGAAAGATGATCATAAAGTGACATGACTGTCTCCGTAAACATGACAGAGCTCATACATACAGATGAATGATGAAGACTTCAAAATAATCATACTTATTTTGGTAATTCCGCTATCAATTAAAATATTTTTGGAACTCCTCTCTCAGAGTTCCCTTCAAGGCGTAAAACACATTCCTCGCTTTCTCCCTGTCTCTCTTTCTCATATTTTCTCTTATCTTTCTGAGACATTCATTATACTTTATATTTTATTTTGTTTTGCCTGTGTTCCTCTGAGTTCCTCCTCTCTAAATGTTTATTTTGATTTGTCTTTCATAATAAGGGCTTTCCTCAAGTATCTGGTGATCGTTGGCTGATTATATAAGAGGAAACACTAAGGAGCTGAGTGGAAAATGTGAGCCTGGGTGGGTCTCACCACAGGCAATTGAGCAAGACTGGCCATTTCATTGTGGGCTCCAAATATTAGTATCTATAGGTCTTTTGTCCTAGTTCAGACATTTACCCCAGAAAGGATCCTACTGGCTCCTGCCTGGGAGGTAACTTTCGCAGTCAGAAATCAAGGAGCTTAGTAGGGACAGGATGAGAACTAGGGGACTGGCTTACTGCTCAGAATGCAGACTTTTACTTAATCTTCTCTATCTTCTTTATCGCATTGTCCCTTACTGTTAGCTGTGCCTTGATCCCAAGTCCAGAGTCTCTCTGGTTCTTCTCCAAAGAATGATCTTCCCATCCTTCTTCCGGGGTTGGAAAGGGGCTGCAGCCTGGTTTCCTGGCCTGGAGGAGACGGTCTGAAGTTTAACTGCTCCGTAGAAGGACTTCCAACCTGTGTTCCTGTGCATAGCACTGCCATGCAGTCCTGCCCTCAGAATTACCTGGTCTTTTCCAGGTTCTAGGGCAAGAACCAGCTTGTTTTTTATTGATTTCCCATTTTGCAGGCACTTGGGTGTCAGCGTTCTCCATTATCCTAAGTTAGTTAGCATTCATCCACTCTGCATTACAAAATTTTGTTAGCATTTCTCATCTATTATCATTTCTTCTGCTTTTCATTTGCCCTTCTGGGTTTAATATACATTTTAAAACTTCTTTCGTTGATATTTTAATGAGATTTGTGAAGGGAACAAAGATAAACTCCTGTGCCTAACCCACTACTTTTATTAGAGGTCCTATAGCACATTTTAAATTGAATAGAATGTCTTAAATTGTGGAAAATCTTTGTTTTCTAAGGATGGTTTTAGTTTTGGGGAATAGTTAAAAGTCTGAGAGACCCTTGGTCAAATTCCCTTTCCTAGGCCTGAAGCCCCTAACACTTATCATAAATAATTGTTTTTCTCTATTTTGGTAAACAAGCTGAATAAATTATGACTATTGTCCATTGTAACACAACAGAGTAATCTCGGATCTGTAAGCAACCTTTCTAAAAAGATAGAATGCATATATATTTTTTTTTCTTTTGTTTGTTCGTTTTTTGAGACAGCATCTCGCTCTGTTGCCCAGGCTAGAGTGCCATGGTGTCAGCCTAGCTCACAACAACCTCAAACTCCTGGGCTCAAGCAATCCTCCTACCTCAGCCTCCCAAGTAGCTGGGACTATAGGTGTGGGTCACAATGTCCGGCTAATTTTTTCTATTTTTAGTAGAGATAGGGTCTTGCTCAAGCTGGTCTCAAACTCCTGAGCTCAAGCAATCCTCCGTCCTCAGCCTCCCACAATGCTAGAATTACAGGCATGAGCCACCATTCCTAGCCAGAATACATATATTGTATCAAGTAGAACCTGCAATATGTCCAAAATTTCTGGGGGAAAACAATCGCCACCCAAAAACCATGCTTACTTACCATTTTATTTTTAAATAGATTGCTTATTAAACATATCTCAAATGGAAAAACAGGATTATAATTGGATGTTGTAACTGTCCATAACTTTTGCCCCAAGGGAGATAACTAAGGGGGTCAAAAACACCTCTTACCTTTGTAGTAGTCATATGATATCATGCTATTAGTTTGGCTCAGGGTGGCAAGCAAATATTTGCTTATTCTACACCAAGAAAGTATAAGTTCATAACTGTTCAAACATTTGAAAAGAAAAATTAACCTAATCAGCAGAAGGCTGAAACCAGTGTATAAGATAACTGGATGTCATTTAGCATTGAGTTGGGAATAGTATAAACAGGACCAAAGACAAACTCTTTTAACTGGTTTCTGTCTCTTTGGGTTCTGAAAATCTGTCTCACTATTGTTAAAGGATACCCCTAGGCCTAGCCTGAAAAATGGAATTATTCTTGATTTTGGACAGGGTCCCCAAACAGTCATTTAGAGTCAAAGCTGGTAATCTTTAGAGGCCAAGCAGAAAAGGACCGCCATTGATGAAAAATAAGGGTCACTACAAAGTGATGACATTCTGTGTGGCTCAGAATCTGTCTTCGTAGGCAGATCCAGAGACACGGTTCTTTTTGAGTCCTCATGCATTGTTTTTTAAAATGTGTGCACCCTCCTGAAATGATTATTTTAGTTGGCTATATGTGTTTGGGTAGGTTTGATTTTAGAAGTCCAACTGCTCTATAATGACCTCATGTTCTAACATGGAAATGAGGGGCAAAGCATTGTGGAAGGGGAGTTAGAAAAGTTGTTCACATGAGTCTTATTTATAGTAGTAAAACATTGATTTATAACAAAAATTTACACAGTAACAAAAAATGTCTAGAATAGAAAATTGGCTGAGCAACATGGTGTCATGCTATGTACCCATTAAGATGACAGGCACATGTGTAATGTCCATTTCATGGAAAAGTGTATATAAAATAATTGTAAGTGAAAAAGATGAATACAAAAGAGTGAATGCACACAAAAGGATTTCATAAAAATTAATGTTCCTCAATGCCACAGCCCATTTCAAGCTGACAAAATAGTCATTGTTTTTTTTTTTCTTCATAGTTGCTCAAATTAATAATGAAATAGAAGAAGGTTTGTGTCTTGGAAGCAATGCTAACTTCTCACTTCTTCCTGAGCCAGGTCTTTAAACAATGTCATTTCATTATTTTCCTGTAGGATAAATCTTAGGAAATCAGCATATCTCTCTTCAAACATAAAAAAAACCCTTTTGAAGTCAGTGGATCAATTAACAGTTCCTGCTTTCCACACAGTTCAAAGGGTGGAGCCCCCAACCCGCGAGGGGAAGAAGGAAGTTAAAAGATGTTAAATACTCGGGCCGGCTACCCTGGTCAGGCTGGCTGGCTGGCTGCACAGTCAACATGAAGGCTCTCTTCCTTCTGGGACTCGTCCTCCTGTCCGTCACGGTCCAGGGCAAAATCTATGAAAGGTGTGAGTTGGCCAGAACCCTGAAAAGATCGGGAATGGATGGCTACAGAGGAATTAGCCTGGCGAACTGTAAGTCTGTGCACTCCTTCATACTTCCAGAGAGTTAGCCAAGCGTTGAACAGACAATATGAGAGAAGGAATAGTAAGAAGGAGCTCTGAGTAAAGAGACGTTTTTATTTCTTTGGGGGTTTGTGCACAAATGGTTGAAGTATCAGTTTGGTCCTTTATACTGAGAGATACCAGATGAAGGAATGAGGGCACGGCAGGGGAAAATTCTATGCTATTCTAAGTAAAACAGGACCGGTTGTACTGTTCTAGGGCCACTGAGTCTGCCCATTGCCTCAGACCCCAGGGTGCACATGGGCTGACTGAAAGATGCCTTGAGGACCTGGCAGGGCTCCATTGGAGTCCTTGGGACTTAACGCCAGTTATGTCTCGTTTAAAACTTGAGCTATGAGAGCCTAGAGCAATACGGTATTTTTCTTTTTTTTGAATTCCCCTGACATGACATGGGATTTTTAACAGTAAAGTTTTTAAAAATTATGTTGAATTCCCCATACAAGGGCAGTAGGAACCAATGTTAATTCAGTCACTGTTTATATAAGGATCCCTGAAACTCAGCATGAAATGTTTTATTATTTTTATTCACTCTAGTGGTTTAACAATTTTTCATTTTCCTCAATATAATTCAAGATGGACCATTAGGAAAAGTTGCTTTATAGTTTGGTCCATATTCGTTGATGTGATCACTGTACTTTTCAGATTGACTTTAAACATTGCCCCTGAATAACTATTTTTGAATGAATGAGTGAATGGATGAAATCACAGAACAGTCTTTCCTATTCTATAACTCTTGTTTTCAAGTTTCTAACTTGATATCCAAATTCACCTTTAGTTATTCTAAGAAAATTTCTCTCTCACAGAAAATCCTCATTTTTTTCTGATTAAAAGTGTTTTTCTATCAGCTTACTTATCTGTTATGAATTTACAAAATGCACTCAATAGCTCTGTTGGTTTTTCTATTCTAGGCTGAATGTTGCCTGAGGGAAGGGTAAAAGCAATGGAAGAAATGGCTATTTTAATATTTTTTAAAGGACCGTATATTGTTTAGTATTATAAAATGATTTGCATAACAAAAGGATTGTCTTATGGGCCCTTTAAAGTATTAAAAAATTCTAAAGTTAAATACATCTTTATACTTATAAAGTAAGTCAGTAAAATAGAAATAGCTAAATAGACCTGATTTTGGTATACAGCATTACATCATTTAGTGTTACTGTTTATTACTAAACATACGTTCTTTTCAGGGGTATGTTTGGCCAAATGGGAGAGTAATTATAACACACGAGCTACAAACTACAATGCTGGAGACCGAAGCACTGATTATGGGATATTTCAGATCAACAGCCGATACTGGTGTAATGATGGCAAAACCCCAGGAGCAGTTAATGCCTGTGGTATATCCTGCAATGGTAAGACAAGATAATATCCAAGTGATGGCACAGGAGCTATCTGGTTATACCTACAAGAATAGGGATCCAATGTAAATGAAAAAGCCTGGAAGGGTTCATCAGGGACCTAGAAGAACTCCATCTCAGCTTCTAGAAAGCCATTATAATTCCCTAAGTAAGAAACTAGAGAGCTGGTATCATAAAAGATTAGTTTTTTTTAATATATAAAAGTTTCTGGAATGACCTATTAATTTATTATAAATGTCCTTACTGATGCTTTGTCCAGAACAATGCCGTTCGTCCCATGCACTTTGGGAAGGTTTAGGGATAATTTGGTTGTATGGTCCTTTTTCAATTGTTTTACTTTTTATTATGAAAGATTATAAATATATAGAAGATTAGAGGCATTAGTATAATAAACAGCCATATGTGCACCACACACTTTTAACATTTCTTAACATTTTGCCAGAGTTGCTTCTTCTAGATGTATTTTTTTTGCTCAGAGATTTTTAAGTGAATTGGAAACATGACATTTCATTTCTTTTTTTTTTTTTTTTTGAGACAGAGCGTCACTCTTTCGCCAGGCTAGAGTGAGTGCCGTGGCGTCAGGCTAGCTCACAGCAACCTCACACTCCTGGGCTCAGGCGATCCTTCTGCCTCAGCCTCCCGAGTAGCTGGGACTACAGGCATGTGCCACCATGCCCGGCTAATTTTTTCTATGTATTTTTGGTTGTCTGATTAATTTCTTTCTATTTTTAGTAGAGACGGGGTCTCGCTCTTGCTCAGGCTGGTTTCGAACTCCTGAGCTCAAACGATCCGCCCGCCTAGGCCTCCCAGAGAGCTAGGATTACAGGCGTGAGCCACCACGTCCGGCCGACATTTCACTTCTAAACTTTTTAGTTTGGATCTCCAAAAAATATAGTTCCTAAATAATCATTGTCACAACTAACAAATTAACTTATGAATTTGTTTATTTGGGGTGAAACAAACATTTTATTGAAATCCTATAAAAATAGAAATAACACATGAAATTTTTAGAGCAAAAAATATTGCATGAATATTGTAAACTTGATATTGTTAAATTTCTAAATATTAAAATTCCCAGTAGAGAAGATTAATCTTAGAATATTCTTTTAAAAAGTCAGTTAATTTTTAAAATATTTGATACTATATAACAATCTGTGGTCATTAAAGAAAAATTAGAAAATACAAATAAAAAATAGTACCCATAATCTTACTACCCAGAGATTTATGACCATTGGTAAATTTTGGTATATAGTCTTCCAGCATGTATATCAATCATGTATATGAAAGGTAAGTTATATCATGCACATATGTACCCGCAGAAAAACATGTAAGCAATGTGTATTTTTACAAAAATTAAATTGTATTATATGTACTGCTTTACAATTTTCTTATCACACAAAATTATTTCCATTTCAGCAAATACAAATCTGTGTTATCATTTTCAAAGAATGAATAGAATTCTAATATATGAATATTCTATAATTCACTGATCCAACTCTTACTATTAAGCACGTAGGTTGTTTCCATTTTTACCTTTTATAAATTGCTATGAACAGCTTTTTTTATTTTTTTTGAGACAAGGTCTCTCTGTGTCTCCCAGGCTGGAGTGCAGATCAGAGCTCGCTGTAACCTTGAAATCCTGGGTTCAAGCGAGCCTCTGGCCTCAGCCTCCTAAAGAGCTAGGATTACAGGCATGAGCCACCATGTCCAGCTGCTATGAACAGCTTCGTGCATACATCTTTGAGACACAGGAAAGTAATTCCCAATGCTGGGAATCACTTGAAGTCTAAGTGGGTCCTTGGCTTCGAGTGAGAAAGAATTCAGAAACGAGCCAACAGTGTAAAGCAAAAGCAAGTTTTATTCAGCAAAGATAAAAGACCTACTCCACGGAGCAGAGGTAGTTCTTCCTGCTGGGGAGAACAGCCCCTGCGTTTTTTGGATTTCTTTATTTAAACAATGGCTTAATCATGAACTACGCAGGGGAGGAATGTTCGTATTAATTTTTAGAAAGGGATGATACTTTCTTAGAACTAGGAACCTCCCCTTTCTTTACTTCATAAGCTCCCTCATAGAACTGTCATGGTGTCAGGGGAGTTTCTTTTAGCATGCTAATGTATTAGAATTAAAGCATAATGAGTTGCAAGACTAAGAAATGACCTATTTCTTTACTACTTTGATTCCAACTTGTTTTACCTCATTTTGTCACACATGCTGTTTTTGATCTGGGAGATTAGAGGCTTTTTGACTTTGTGTTAAGCAGTGCCTGCTGATTTCCTATCTCATATTAACATCTTTGGGTGCATTTCTTACTTCTTTAGGACAAATTTACAAAACTAGAACTGCTGAGTAAAAAAATTACTAGGCGTCTTTTTTTTTTTTTTACAGTGCCTAGTACAAAGAGGACTCTCATCATATTAGTTAATAATTCCAGAGTTTCAAATGACTTTGGCAAATGAGAAACAGAATATTTTATTTCATGTGGCATGGGACAGAATGAAAAGAAGTTTCCCCCAACAATCACAGAGATACAGGGACTCTTGGAAAATAATTTCTTAGCAGGCATGGTGGCTCATGCCTGTAATCCTAGCACTCTGGGAGGCCGAGGAGGGAGGATCACTCGAGCTCAGGAGTTTGAGGCCAGCCTCAAGAAAAGCAAAACCCTGTCTCTAGGAAAAATAGAAAGAAATTAGCTGGACAACTAAAAATAGAAAAAATTAGCCAGGCGTGGC